CGAAGTTGCTTCACGCGGCAGGCTGAACTCCTAGTCTGGTCACTCGCTAGCTGGCAGCAATCAGGGAAGAGCATCTTCATTTGGATGAGTGTTTCATTTCCTGACGCCATTTCTGGTTCCTAGAGACTTGTGGTGTGGATACGTAATTCCATCCAGCTCTTGCTGACCGTGTACTGTGAGCACTCCTGGGGCTCAACCTGGGCTTCACCAGGCGGGTGGAGAAATAGGGACTGTGGTTCCCTTTGAACTGAACCAAAGGAAACAAAATCGGGGGGCTGCGGGGTGATGAGAGGGGATAAGAGTCCAAGACTCTCCTACCAAGTGTGGAAAGAAAGGGTCTCCCCCCTGGGATGTATCCTTATAGTTATCATGGAGAGGGCCCAGAGCATGCGATAAAAATTTGCGGCCTGGACAGAAGTTACTAAACTTAAATGATGTAATTAACGCTCTAGGTCTTTTTTTTAGAGCTCTGCCAGCCGCAGCTTCTCTGTAGGAATGTCCTTTTGATAGAGACCACTAATCTTTAGCTGATAATTAACTGGAGCCCAGCCTTTTCAGAGGCTACGTCTCATGTTTGCTGTCCTTGGCAGTCACACCTCCCTTTCTTTCCAACACGCAGAGAGGTCTGGTTTTATCTTGGGGCAGTTACTTAGAATATATGTACTTTATGTGGCTTTTGCTTTATATTGCAGGATCTACACCCCTTTCAGTGAGGACACCCCTTCCGTAGGCCAACGTCTCTTGAACTCGGTGTTGAACACCATCATAATGATCAGTGTCATCGTTGTGATGACGGTGTTCCTAGTTCTGCTGTATAAATACCGCTGCTACAAGGTAAAGCGTTCCTGCTGGAGTGTTTTCCACCTACATGCTACAAATCTGAGTTCAAGTGGGGCTTGCAGGTCAGGGAGAAATACAGGCAGTGCTCTGGCTAGTCCACGCTTAGTCATAGCAAGAATGGTATTGTACAGAAGCCTTTGGCAGCGGTGATGGAGCTGTGCCCCCAAATATACTTTGCTTTTATTTTGTCACTAATGGTAGGCTCTTAAAACCAAGGCTTGACTTTATTTAAGTCAGGTCTGAGTCTTCTCCATCTGATCATGAAGTTTTGCAGTTTGTACGAGCGGACTAAGTTATACCTTTTACTGCAAACACCTTCTCTTAGGAAGTTTCAGGCAAGCTTTGTGGGACCTGGTTGGTGTTCTTCCTGCCTGTAGAAGCTCTGGTGGCAGGGGACAGGGCTTGGAGGGAAAGGCACATCCAGGTTTTGTGGTGCTCAGGGCCTTGGGAAATTGGAGGAGGAGTGAAGGAGCCTGTAGGGCAATAGTCTGTCAATAGTGCATGCAGTGCTGTGACCTGTGTGAGTGGTAACAGCCCCTTCAGTCACTGTTTCTTCTTGCCCTTGATAGTTCATCCATGGCTGGCTGATCCTGTCCTCTTTGATGCTGCTCTTCCTCTTTACCTACATCTATCTCGGGTAAGTGGGAATGATGCAGGTAACCTGGCAGTTCAGGGCTGCTTCATCTCTCTGCAGAAAATCCCCAACTTGAACAAGGGAAGGGATGTTCAAAAATTGTTAGAATGAGACCTCATTTTCCATTTAAAAAAAAAAAAAGCTGTCTTTGATAGGCAGTGCCTGATTTTTCAGTGCCTACTCTACAGAAATCACTGGGAAGTGATACCATGAGCATGAAACGAACAGGCTGAACCTTGTGGTATGGGACCCCTGCTTTATGCATTGAGACAGAAGTGGAGAGGAACTTTATGTACTGAGTTAGTTCTCTGATTTGCCTTGCCTTTTTCTCAAGAGAGCAAATGGTTTCAAGCTCGTTCCTTTAGCTCCCAGCTCAGGTAGAACTTTTAACTTTAACTCAGGTAAGCTTTTAACTCACTAGTGGCACTTGTTGAAGTGCTGAGAGCAGCAGTTGGCCACAAGGCAAGTTCCCCTTTCATGATGAGAGCTGCTTCTGTCCTGCTTCCTCCTTTGAGTGTCAGTCCGTCTTATTGCTCAGCTAAACTTTCTTCTTGTATTCCAGTGAAGTATTGAAGACTTACAACGTGGCCATGGATTACCCCACTCTGTTTCTAGTCATCTGGAATTTTGGAGCTGTTGGAATGATTTGCATACACTGGAAAGGTCCCTTGCAGCTCCAGCAAGCATATCTCATTATGATCAGTGCTCTAATGGCACTGGTTTTCATTAAATATCTACCTGAGTGGTCAGCGTGGGTGATTCTAGGTGCAATCTCCATCTATGGTAAGTCTGGGTTGTGACTTTCGAGGTGTGGCTTGTGGGGAGGTTACTCTGAGGCAATCTCAGGCCTGTGTATGTCATTCAAAATCACATTTTATGTGGCTGACGGCTTTAGAAAGAGGCAGATGGGCAATTAGACTTCCTGGCTTGTCTCTTGCTGACTGTTCGTGTACCTACTGCGTTCCTATCATGTCTTTCAAGGTGGAACACCGAGTCAGGGAAGTACTGAACCGCATCTGACTGCGTGGTAGGGGTGGTTGGATTTTTATCAGTCGCAACCTGATAGTCTTGCACGTTTCCTTCACGGTTATCAAGAGATCATGGATTTTTGGTATGAGTGAAAAGTTTCAGGAGAACCTGCAGAACAAGAGGTAGCCGGGAGGTAACATTAGGATTGGTGAGGAGAGAGGGCAGGCAAAGAGGAGCTGGACCAAAGGCCTCTATTGGTGTGAAACACGGAGTCAATGTACGTGGTGAAGGGTTGTGGAACGTGAACAAGGTACCCCCAGTCCTCCTTTAATTAAATTCAACACCTTGACAGAACTCTGTCATCTACTTTCAAAGAAATAACACGGTATTCTCAAGAGGCTTTTTATAGGATTAGCACAATGAAAACTCTTTTATTATTACATTAAGCTGTGGGGATGGTATTTTAAGTGAACGACATCTTCAGGGACTAGCACAGCTAGAGTTATGCAAAGCAGCAGAAACTGCCATTCAGGAAATCATTCAGTTAATATTTATAGATGTAATTTTGAGGGAAAAATAGCTTTTTAAAGATTAAGAATGTAAAATAATCCTGATAGTTTGAGATGAGATTGTCTGGCCCTTTTCTCTTTGCAGACCTGATGGCTGTTCTCTGTCCCAAGGGGCCACTGAGAATGCTGGTAGAAACTGCACAGGAGAGAAATGAGCCCATTTTTCCTGCATTAATATATTCCTGTGAGTAAAATTAGAATGTTTATGTTTTTAGACAGATTAAACTCGCAACCTTTTTTGTGTCAAACCAAAAAGCACTATTTTAGCTACTTCTTTGCCCTAATATTGGTGTGCATTTATGTTCCGGAACAGACTGTTTATAGAAGGCCTTGTTTATTGATTTAAATGGTGCTAAGTCTAATTAGCCAAGGGGACTCCATGTTTGCCTTATGAAACTGAAATGTTCAAAAGTAGACTTAACCCTTTGTGAATACAGTGCAGAACGTGCCCCTTTGTTCTGCACACAAAAACCTGGGTTAGATGGACAGAAGTGTTTGCAAAGTTCATCATTAGATGATGGAAAAAAAGCTTCGTTAGGGGATGCTCACTGAATAGACTTACTCCTTTTGCATATTCTTCATAGACACACTTTAAAGGTGTGATGAGGTTTTATTCTTCCTATAGCCCCCTCTTGCTCTGTGCACGGTACCTAATGGCAGTACTTAGAATATATTAGCTTTATTGTTCCTTGTGTGGCTGCTTGCTTTGTAGAGGGCTTTATTCAAGTATTACGCTGCAAAAAAAAAAAAGAGTTGTCTCTTCTCTGGCTTGCTTGGACTATCTAACCATGATGATGTCTGGTGCCTCTGAGACAATCTAGATGAAGTCTCTCCTATGTTTTAGTTAATAAATGAGTTTCTCTAAAGGAGAATGCAATTCTGAACAAAAAGTTCTTGTGGAGATCGTCAGCGTCTCCATTGCAAGACCACATCCTGTGGCTCCCTCTAGATGCAAAAACATCACCTCTGCTGAGCTTGTAGTGGAAAAGCAGGCACTGTGTTTGCCTTGGCTTATTTTGTCTAGTTTAGCTTCTATAAAAACAGGAAGGCTGGTGCATACTTAAATAAGCAGCTGATTTGAATTCCCTTCCACTGATTTCAGAATGGTTTGTATTCCTTCTTAATTTAGGGATCCATCTCAAGAATAAACCCCTCAAACATCCTTTAGTTGTTCTTGGAACCAAAACAGAAATAGCCAATATTTTGAGAGGAAACAACCAAAAAACACAAACAGGCAGAGAGAAAGCTGGCACTCTGGCAGCTCCTGCTTATCCCTCGCTCGTGGGCTTTACCTTTAGCAGAACAGGAGGAGTAAGTGGTGTATGTTAACCTCTGGTTACCTTTTGTAATGCCATCATTTCCTGGGCAATTCTTTTCTTTGAAGAGAAGAGTCAGGAGCCAGGAAGAAAAAAAGGAGATGAGGACCCCGGTTCTGCATTTTTGCTTTCTTTAGCCTGCAGAGAAGACTATATTGACTCTTAGCCATTTGTGCTCTAGGACTTTCTTAAAAACTGAATGGATGCACTGTCTTAATTTTCTCCCCACCTTGCCTTCCATGTGCCTAAGAAAACCAGCAAAGAGTGAGTGTTTTAAAAGCATTTACAGGGGCAAGAGCTTGTGTACTTTTAGGGACAGCTCAATACTTAGCTCCTCTGAGCTGTAGTGACGGATGTTTTATGTAGCTAATTGCTTTCTCTCTTTCTTCTAGCTGCTATGATGTGGACAGTTGGGATGGCCAAGCCGGACACAGCAGCAAGAGGACCAAGTCAGCAGACGTGGGATGCAGGTTTGCTTGCGTGTCACTCTTCTATACAGAGCACTGTCCCATGGAAATAATGTGTATGTTTGAGGCTGCAAGTAAATGTAAGCCTCTGAATCCTGACCGATGCATTTTTTTCCGGTGATGTTACATTAGTTCCAGAGCTTGGTGATGTTCTGAAACCTGCTGTTAGTACTGGCAGTAAAGATGACCAGATGACGTAGGAAGCTTCAGTATTCAGGCTGCCTTTATTTAAAAAACCAAGCAACCAACTAAAAACCACACATCTTCAGATGTACCGAAGTCAAAGCTGAGAGTGGGCTAGTGGGGGGTTACATTTTTAGTAGCTGGGGATCGTAAATTACAACACAGGCTCATAAAGACACTGCCAATGAGCTGGTGAACTGAAGTGCATTGCAGTGTATGGCATTCAGGCCACTGCCAGGGAACAGACCTGCTTTTACGGAGCTGTAAGTGCAGCACGGCTTACCCTGCCAAAGAAAATCAGTGTCTTTACATTTACTCTTGGGTAAAGGCTTATGTTTGGGCAGTTGCCCAACGGTGGCTGGTGTGTTCCAAGTTTACATTCTGGTTGGTCCTGTGGTAATTTTTTTGCCTTTGTTTTTATCTTCTTGAAATGCAAGTTAACCTGCAGTTCCTAAGGTGATGGAATAAAATCCGACTTGTGGTGTCAGGAGGATTTCCCACCTGATCCTGTTGCACTTCAGAGATGACAGTACCTTTTTATGTTAAGGCAATAAATGTATGCTAAGGCTTACAATTTAACGTGCCGCTTATTTCAGGATAAAGCAGCTGGCATACTAACAAACCATGGGGGACACAATCCTGCTTTGAAAATGGACACAAAGCAGGAGCAAAGCACATGCTGAGGCATACAGAATGCCATTGAGGGAGCTTTGTCTCCCCCAGATCAGTGTCTGCTCGCATCTGCAGTGGCAGCATCCCGTCAGACTGACATGAACTGGAAAGTTTGAGTGCTTCTGAAAAACAGGAACTATCAGATAAAGTACTGTATCACAGACTGGCTGCATCCAAAAGTACTACCAAGGTCTCTATTAGATGTGTTTTAAAGGACAAAAAACCCCTCCCTAAATCTGTGAACGACGAAATATGTCCATTTGCTACGTGTGAACACCCAGGCCTGATGTTAATGTGACTCAGGGCAGAACTTTTCTCATAAATGGCAGTCCTCTTAGTCATCCATTTTTGTCATACTACCAGTTACGAAATACCTGAGCACGTACCCTTCCAACTGTTTCAAATAATAGCACATGTGTTTTTCTCAAACTCACTAAATGTCTCTGCTTGAACTGGTCCTGATGAAAGAAATACAGAAACAAAGGGCTTACCCATTCCAGAGAAGCTTCACAGAAGTGTGGATTTCATGCATTAAAACAAGTTATAAATATAGCTAACTCTTGCATTTCTTTTTTTGGGGCTGCTCTTCTTGTGGAACCAAGCTGAGGATGGGAGAGAGAACCACAGGAGCCCTTTGCATGCAGACTCTCAGAGGTCAGAGACGAGGAGTCCTGGCCCAACCCGGCCCATCACTTCTTTCGAGGAGCTCGAGGAGGAGGAAAGTAAGGGAAGCTTCATACCTTGTTTTTCGTATAGTCAGTTGGCACCTGGCATTTTTACTTGTGGTTAACACTGTTACCCTCTGTGGCCTAATTGCAGTGAATTGGAAGAATAGTGACTTGTTAAGCAGCAAAGATCTAAGCCTGACTGTATCACTTCTTGCTGCTGCAGTATCTGTTCTGGGATTGTAGTGTCAGTGACATCTCTTGGCTACGCAGACAATTTAAGCAGTAACCTTCACCTGCTCCCCAGGGGACGAGAATTTGTTCGTGAGGAAGCAAAACAAGAAGAGCAGAAGTAACACATTGTTGTCTTTGTTCCACTTCTCTCAGGGGGTGTGAAGCTGGGCCTCGGAGACTTCATTTTTTACAGCGTGCTCGTCGGGAAAGCAGCTGCCACAGCTAGTGGAGACTGGAACACCACTCTGGCTTGCTTTGTAGCCATCCTCATAGTAAGTGAGCAAGCTTTTCAAAACTCTGTTACAGCCTGTTTAGGTGTTGCCAGAAGTACCAGCAGCTGAGCGGTGCTAAACCTGTGCAGGTAACGTGCTGGGTCTTTAGGAGAAACCACCAGTGGATTTCCCAACTTGATGCTGGCCATAAAGGCAGGCTTTAAACAGCCACTCGGAGAAGATGAATGATAAGGGCTGAGAGGGGAGGATTCCCAAGAGTAGAGCCAAGTGTGGAGATGGTGGGGGGTGAAACATCCCCAGGGAAAACAGTTACAGCTGAACTGTTAGTATCTTTGCTTTAGTGTTAAAGACTGGGGACTTCTGTCAGCCCCAAGAGTCAATATTATGAACTCCACGTTGATTACCCAGTGTAGTTGAAAAGGTTAACTACCTTTTGTGAAGGAGAATGGCTAAATAAGAGGATGAAGACCTATTTTGTTCTTGTGTTCACGCTGGGGAAAAAAAAACAGGAAGGAAGGAGACTTAAAAAATCCATGGAAATTATTATTAAAAGCAGATGACAGTCATATTGTAACTGCTAAATACTCAGCCCTGCCAGGTATAATGACCACACACTGTTCACACTGTTGAGCTTTCACCTAGGTAGAAAATAATTACTAGGAACTTGCTGTTTACACCAACAACTTCAGAGAAACTAACCAGAAGGGCAACGGCAGGAGTTCTAGATGGTAGAAGAAAATGAATTGTCATGTCTTCCTTGGGCCTCTGTTTCCCCATTCAGATCCCAAGGATGGTGAAAGAGAGTGACTTTCTTTTGTGAAGATCATGGATCAAAAAGCATGAGGACTAACAAATAAAGTGTATTGAGAGTAGCTTTTCTACCTCACTGGTCAGAGAAACCCATAGGATCAGCTTAGCTCCGTATTCTGGGGTTCAGGGCACTTTTGCTGGGACAAATGCACTCTCTTGTCTGTCCATGTGGCCAAATGACCCATTCTATTTCTTCTATGGTGGTGTGTAATTTTTTGGAGCCTGGTGTCTCTGAAGTTTTGTCATCACAAAGGAAGAAAAAAGGGCTCAAATGAGAGAAGGAATCCATGCCTAAATGCACTTAGCAATACTGTCCACTCAAAAGGTACAAAAGCTTTCACACATGCTCAAGAAAACAGATCTTGGCCTGCTATCCAGAATTCACCTATCACAGTAAGCAATACAGTCAAAAAACCAGCAGTGGATATTTTGGTTTTGGGTGGTTTTTTTGTTCTTTTTTTTACCCCAAGAGACCTGGAAAACTGTGAAGGTGTTAGAAGTACATGCTACTGTGTATTAGTCCTCCAGAGTATCTCCTTATCTATGCAGTTCACCAGGATTATGTGCTTTTATCTACTGGATCAGTACTTCATGCATAATGGCATACAACAAAATGCAAAATAACCTGTAAATGAATTAACCTCTTGGGGTCAGGTGTATATCAGCACTAGCTGTTTGTACTGCTTCCTCAGCAAAGAGCTGGGCTCAAGATTGCTGAAGAAAATACCCGGCCAACTTGTGTGAAAGCTGGGCCACTGGTAGCCCAGGTGGGCTTCAATTGTGGTACAGTGTGTATAGCTTATTATTTTTATATTAGCTTGATGACAGATACGTTTCTGGGCTTCTCACTATATCTCCTTTTTTATTCTCTTCTCTCTGGCAGGGTTTATGCTTGACTCTTTTATTACTGGCTGTTTTTAAGAAAGCGCTGCCTGCTCTTCCCATCTCCATCACCTTTGGCTTGATCTTTTACTTCTCGACAGACAACCTCGTGCGACCGTTCATGGACACCCTGGCCTCCCACCAGCTGTACATTTAGAAGAAGTGGGAACTAGAGGATTCTTTTTTAAAGCTTTGCTGTGAAGTATGGTTACACTGTTTGGAATAAGTCATAAAGTTTTACACTTAGTGCCATATATTTGTAAGGAAAACACTAACTGTGTGACAGTGATGTGTACTAAAAAATCTAATAGTTATGTGTTGAACTGAGAATTTTGCCCAGGCCTCTTGGACCCCAGTGAAAAACCTGGCTCACTGCTGGTGGCAGAGCATTATTTTTATGTTATTTGATGTGCACGTTGGCTGCTGTGAGCACAGAAAGTTGTACGTAGCACGGGACACTGGAGAGGTGAAGGGTCTGATCTGTGCTTCCAGAAGCTAAAGCATTTTAGCCCTGGTATTGCAGTCAAGTTTAACTGCCCTCTGGAATTGCTAACACTTCACACTTTGGAAATGTTGTGCAAACGTGTGGTTCGAGTAAGTGGTAATCAGAAAAAGCAGAGCAGTCAGTGTGCTCAGAACGGAGCAGTGCTTTACATCTGGTTGTGAGCATTACAGAAGCGAGGTTGGGCTTTAGAACCTGGCTTCTGCGCACACAGTTTCTGTTGAAATTGCCCCAAATGGCTATTTATTCTGACCCCTGTGAGCCATGATGGATCTAGACGGGATGGTGGGACGTTTAGACATCAGGCTCCTGGTTCTGAGGGCACCCAGCACTGCAGGTAACAGCTGAGGGCAGGGCTGTTCCATCTGGTGCATTGCATCCTCAGTGTGGGAAAACAAATACCTTTTTTTTTTCTGTCTTCTCCCAGCATTTTATCTTTTTGTAAATCTTTTTCTGGGTCCATACGACAATCTTCAAATTACCGTAAGGTGGAAATTACTGCACAACTCCAGTAAATCAGTTGACCTGTAACTTCTTGTGTGTATTTCTGGTCTCATTTCTGTGCATTGTTGTAACCACTCCAAAAAAAGATTTACCTTCCTTTTATGAAGATGTCCTCTTTCACTGATAGAGGCTTGGTTTACCTACTTTTTGGTACTGTTTAAAGATGATTTTTTTTCTTTCACTGATAGAGGCTTGGTTTACCTACTTTTTGGTACTGTTTAAAGATTATTATTTTTTTTAAATTACAAATTTTAAAAAGGCTATTTAATGTCAAAGGGACTCTTTTGGAAATACCCTGTCATAGTTTGTATCAAAATACGGGGGTGCAAGCTTTAATCTGCTGTTACATTACTCCACATAAGGCATCGTTAATGCTAGGGATATTTATACAGCCTCAAGTGAGTTCATTTACAAAAATAAATAATAAAATCACAGTACTTTTGCCAGTAAAAAATACAGGTCTGACTGAACCTTACTATTTTCTCCACTTCTAAAAATCACTTCATTTCTACTCCAAGCCAATTTTTTAAAAATAGCCAAGTTCTGTGATACTTTTTTTTCTTTTCTTTTTACTTGAGTGTCTATTACGCAAACAAGCTCTGTTTTCTTTGACAGCTGATCAATGTCAGTGTTTCAAAATGTAACATTATGCAAGCGTTTGTGAATAATGCCATGTCATTGAGAGATGCAGAATTTAATCTCTGAAAATACTTTTTAGATAAGGCTTCGAACTACGTGTTTTTAAGGTAGTGCTTTTTCCAATAGACTCACTCGAGCTAATCTACTTTGATATTTAACAAGAACATCACACAGGTGATCCAAACAAATTTTTAAAAAGCGCGTAAGGGTTTTTACGAGTTGTGTGTGTCTCAGTTTGGACACACAGATAATTCTTGCTCTTTAGTCTTCTGTCCTCATTTCTTACATTTTTAATGTTTGGACTTAACAGCTGCAGGCAGTTAATTATTTCTGAAAGGTATTTCCTTTAGAAATGTAAATCATTGTAGCTCTGCTGATTTTTAAGGTTTTTCTGAGAGTTTGTTTATCTTTTTGTTTGTTTTGTGGTTTTTTTTCTTCTTTTTGGTTAACTGAAACAGTTATGGGGCCAAATCAGACTACAGACACTCATAAACATGATTTTACTTTTTGCATTGCATTGTGTAGAGAGGATGTGAAATATTTATATGTACTAAAAGAAAAATCCTGCTTAGCTTAACAGGGTTGTAGCATATTGTTAGAAACAATTTATTTCTATGAAAGCAGAGTTGATATTTGAAGGAAACTGGGGGGTACCTTCAAATATCAAAGGATCACTACTGGAGCTGGTGGTTTTCTGCAGATTTGTGCTTGCTGAAGATTGGCCTTCCACTGAGAAATTCTGCAGAACTAAAAAAAATTGTAATTTAACAGGTAACTGAGCAACAGATTCTGTCAGTGCAACAAAATGTATTGTCCTGGTGAGTGATAGGAGTATATCATGTATATACTGGAGTGGTTTTAATTGTGTAAAAGTTCATATGTATTTGCTACAAATATATATATTCACTGTGTGTGTTTATGTGTGTATATACACACATACACACAGGTTTTAAAACTGTATTGAGTGGTTTTTCATCTCATTGGACACTTTCACCTGTGCATAAAGTGAAGTTTTGTTTGTGATGTGCAGTGATTTACTGTGCAGTGTGGCCCCAGGTGTGAAACTGGAAAGGGTAGGGTTTACTCTACTCCCGAGTTGGCTGCTCCACGAGATACTGACTTGGCCACCTGGCAACTTGAGTGAGCAAAGCATTTGCTCTCTGTCTACTGTGTTCACTTGTTGTGTGCTCTGCTGCACTGCAGCCTCTTTCACCCTCAGGAAATCCACGCAGTGCTTCCACAGCAGCTCTCATCAAGGTCTTGTTCATAAAACCTCACTTCAGGTTCTTACGACAAGGTAAGAGTTGGTCTGTTCTAGAAATGTCGTCTCCTTCTGGCTCGCAGAGAGAAAAAGACATACTTGCAAGGTGAGGTGTCTCAATCAGAGCTTTATCAATGCTGCTGAAGCTGGGCCAATGTGGGTCAGTAGATAGAGCAAGGTCACAGCACACATCTATCCCAGTCGGGAGACGGAGCAGTGCTCTGCTCTCCTGTACGTTCTTGGTACCTTTTGCTGGTGCAGTCTCCTCCACAGGGCAATGGCATGAAGTTAGATGGACCATCCCTCTGAGTAAATGGTGCTCGCTAGGAGGACTCCGGTGAAGAAGAGCTCAAGGCCTGCTGTCCTTGCAAAATAAGGTATTTGGAGGTCCTGCTACTCCCAAACCAGTACACTTCTCTGCTTTGTTCTTGCCTTCCGAGGTACTGCCAGTTAATCACACAGTGTGTTTGCCGCCTTCTTACTTGTCACTCAAATTGCATTTTTGTTTAAATTCGATATACAGTTATTTTTATTTGTTTCCCTCCGTCCCTGGTCTCCCCATTTATGCATTAGAGCTGCTCCTTGGCAGCCACGGGAGGGCAGTAAGTCTGTATGGAGAAATACCAGCCATTTTAAAGTACTCCACTGCGTGCCCTTTGTTTTTGAGCGAGGCTGAAGGCCCTGGAGTCTTCCTCAGGGCAGGGAGAAAGCAGACACTCCAGCACAGCTGTGGTTCTGGCACAGCAAGGAAGAAACTTTAAGTGAGAGTGAGCTCACACTGTACTAAAATCGGTTTAAAACCAGCTGGTTTCAGTGTGTGCCATGTTTGGCACAGCAGCTCTGCATGAGGTGCTGCTGTTACATTGCACACTCCATTTTGTTTGTAACCTCCTATTTTTTAATTTTTTTTTTAGCATTCAGCCCTAGTATCAGTCCTACAAACCTCAAGTGTAAGTCAGATGCTGCTCCAGGCATTGCTAAATTAGATTTTCTTCTGAGCATCCTCAAGAAGCAAAGGAATAATTATACTTACTGCTTTGTCACTCCTCCTCTTGTTCTGTCCCAGCAGGTCTTGTTAATCTGGGGGAAAAAATAAAAGCATGCTGCTGTCAGTCCAGCTCTTGGCAATGGGGAATCTAGGGTCTTGCCAGATCATGTCTGTGTTTTCAGGAGGACCAGGGGATATCTAGGTTTTTTTAACTTGGTTGTTTTATAAGAAAGCAGCCTCGATAAACGTGGTCTTTCCCAGAACTTCTCCTGCCACGCTATTCGTACTCCCCCTTATGCACTGTTGCATCCCTCACTGATTTATCCTTCCTTCTGCTGCCCCAGGAAGGTAAAATGATGTGAGCTGTTCCCATTCGACATGTGGGAAACAGAACAAGAGTAAATGCTGGGTTTAAGCTTGGTTACATGAGAAAGATCTGCCTACATCAGGGCATCAAATACAATCACAAATCATTACCATTTCTTTTACACCTTCCCTTTGCTGTAGGTTTGCCTTCATCCACCTTTTCAAGCTCTATATTCAAGACATTTGGCATGAGCACTCAAGGAGTTAAGTGAATATGAACTGTTATCTTCTCGTTTGTGCGATAAATTTGTTTGACAGGTGCCAAAGAGCACAATTTGGGAGGTGTCAGTGCTCAGCACTATTTATGGTTCAGTATTAAAAAGATATAAATAAATACAGACTTTGAAATGGAACTAGCTAAACTCCTTGATATAGAAACCTGAGCCAGGTACAGGGCCAAGTAGTTGGAATGGAAGTTTTCCAACACTGGGAACTGTTCTAGTCCTATCAAATGCAGCTTGAATGAAGTGACAGCTCTCAAGGCCAGCTCAGGATTAGGTCTGTGCAGAAATAAATGGTGTGATGCCTGGCATTCCTGAACAGCTTGCAGGGCCTGAAGAATCAGAAGAGGGCAGAGTAGTAAAAGCATTAGGCCTATTTTCTCCTGTATCATTGGTTTCTATGATTTCAGGTAGACCTTCCTCACCCCAGTATAAAATGCGAGTAAGTCCCCAGCTAACTTGCATTTAAGCAGACTAGGAACAATGTAAATTGTGTGAGAGCAAGTGTGGAAAACTGATCCAACCTTTTACTTATGCCAAGCCATCTTCAATCTTTACAAAGCTAAATATAAGCAACTACAAATACTTGGTAGAGCTACAGTGATTTATGAAAGAACCCAAGTGTTCCTTCAAAACTGGTGAAAGCAAGCAAGATCTCTGGAGGTGAAGGTAGGAATTCAGGATTATTTTTAAAGCTACCTATCCACAGCTTTGATGTACCAACAGATAGTTAGTAGCAATAAAATGCCAGTAGCGTTAATGGAACTATTCCAACAGGAACTTCTTGCCCCTTCATCATGCCAAAAAAGAGATGCCCTCTCTGTAAGCCCCTACCAAATATGGCTTTTGTGATACTCTGGGAAGTTAAAATTCAAGCTATTTTTGTTCTCCAAATATTGTGCTAATAGTCTTCCAGAGTGTTATGTGCAGGTTTCAAGAGGCATGAAAACTGTTTAACTTTCTTCTTTAATAAGGAAAAAAATAATAATCTTGATTTCCGTCCTTATGTGATTTGGGTGGGCAAGACAAGAACTGAAATGGCAAACACTGAATGTTTTCAGACAACTCATTGAGCTGCCAATTCAAACTCTGGGTTGTGCAGAAAACTAACGGGAAATAGAAATCCAGCAAATGGGTTTGGCTACGAAGGCTCTGAGCTGTGGCTGGTCACCCTAGGGAAGAACACAAGGCTAGAAAAACCAAAACATACCTGAGGTGTGGGTTAGGCTTACAAAAAAGGAGTGGGGTGCTGGCTCCTCAAACTAGGCTTATTATGGCAGTGCAGCTCATGCTTTAAAGACTTAAGGAGGATGGAAAAATGAGGGCTAACAGGGGACATACAGCAATACCAAATGCACTTATGCCAGGGGAGGTTCAGGTTGGATATTAGGAAAAATTTTTTCACTGAAAGGGTTATCAGCCATTGGAACGGGCTGCCCAGGGAGGTGGTTGAGGCACCATCCCTGGAGGTGTTCAAAAGACGGGTTGATGTAGTGCTGGGAGGTATGGTTTAGTGATGATGCTCCTTGTTTGTTATGTGAGTGTCTATTTTTGTCAGTTAGGTTGACAGTTGGACAAGATGATCTTTAAGGTCCCTTCCAACCTAGAAGATTCTGTGGTTCTATAAAAGGTTAGGTCACCTTCTTTGCTACTATTGTGCGTGCTTTTTAGTTCTGTCATGAGAGCGCAGCTGTAGAGAACATTGAGGACACCTGTTTTCCTGAAAAGGAACCTTGTTTCCTATGCTTTGAAAGCAGGCCACCAGTTAAACTGAAGCAACAGTTGTTGAAGTCCGTGAAGTGGACGGCAGAGGAGGCAGTCACTGTCTGGGCTTCATCTTTAGATACTCTACCTAGTGGGATTGCTGTAGGAAAGGGACATCTCTGTGCTCCCACTTTGGTCTCCTCCAGGCTAGAAATCTTGTCGGAAGCATCTGGGAGTCGATGGGAGAGAGTGAACCTGCACTGCTGGTTCTTGGCACTGCTGTGCCTGAAGGCGAGCCCTTTCCTTGTGTGCAGCTATTGAGCATGGTGAAATTACTCTGCTCTGTTTCCACTGAGGCTCTCCCAGCACTTCTCCAGGAGTCAGGCTTCAAGAGCATGACAGGGCAGAAGAATGCCATTAGCCCTATTTTACAGATAGGAGTTGAATCATTTGCTCAGAGTCAAATGAAGGGTTTAACCTGGATGTTTGGACCATCTCTTGATCAGTCATTCCTTGCAAAGGCTTGTATGAACTGCTGGTGTCTCCCTCTTAGCTGTGCTCAAATACGTGTCCGTCAGGATGTTCTGCCACCAGGCAATCTCTCTTTCCAGGGATGCAGACACAGATGTAGATACTAGAGTTCAGATTATGCAGTACTTCTCAACTGATCTCAGGAATTGGATCGAGAGCCACAGCAAAGCAGAAAGAGGGTCAGTCAGCATTCAAAGGTAGCAATGATTCTGCTCTCTGTAACTGCTAGAAGTAACTTGTCAGGACTATCTGTGAATCACCTTCAGGCAAGTGCTTATGAGTTTGTCCGTTTGCCACACAAAGCACTTGGAAAAACCTTGCAGCTTTCCCTGTCTCCCTCCCACACCTTGCTATTTGCTGGAACAGCGAGGCAAGATGCCAAGAAGCCAGAACAAGGAGTGGATCTCAGGGCAGTGGAAGAAAACACGCTGTCTCCTGGGGATGATTCCAGGCTGGGGCAAGGTGGCTCGCTGCTCTCCAGCTACGTGACACATGGCAATGCCATGCCAAAAGCTGGGTGCAATGGCTGAGTTTGGCAGCAGGCGTTAGCATTAGCCATCACAGCAACCTATGATGTCTAGCATTAATTCTTAGTTCCAGTAAAGTGTTCAGAAATAGCCCTGTTTCTCTCTTATTCTCTGGCTCCAGCCTGCCTTCCCATTTAGAACAGCTCTGCCCAAACTGTTCCAGATAACCCTTCTGTCTTTTGTAAAAAGCTCTTTAGAGTGGCTAAATGCAGGCAAAGGATTGGCTTCTGTTTGCCTCGCTTCAAAATTAATTTGTCATGTTTACCCAGGGGGTGAATGACTTTGGTAGTTATCATCTGTAAAGTGAATCCTGGCTGGAAGCTACAAAGACCCGAGCCTTTCTGCTGTGCCTGTGCAGGATCGATGGAGGTACATGTAATCAATCAGGTGGCAAGAGGAGAGGGCAAAGCACTCCCCAAACTATGCAAGCAAATGCCATTTACAACGAGCAGAAACAACTGATCCGTCTAGCCCAGAGATAAAGAAGAATTGCAGACTGAATAATGTTTAACCAAGGCTCACAGATCTGGGGAGAAACAGAAGTACCATATTCTCGAGGCACACAGCTGCTTATCAGGCTGCTGCACCCTTTTTATCTTCATCTCATCCAAAATGGCTTTGCTCGATACCCATAAAAAGCACTGTTGGGCAACAGAATTTGAACAGGCTAAGTGGGATATTGTAAATGTTTTAAAGCATTAATTACTAAGGTTGCAGGGGCAAGGTGCCTGTCCTTGCCCTACACTGTCCTACACTCTATCCAAAGACAAGGTCTGGTATCACTTTCTTCCATTTAGTCCTTCTATCTCCAGCCTCTCCACCTGGCACTGTCCTTCTCTCAACATATTCCGCCCCCATGGGCTTGTCTCCAACTTTCCAAAGCAGCCGGTATCCACTTGGCACCACGTGGCACAGTTTGGAGGGAGCAGTGGGTGGCAGGAGCCGCAGCCAAGGGTGGCGTGGTGGCCTATGCATGGTGTGCTGCACAGTTTTTCCCCTCTGCCAGTGATGAACATGTTTGTAGCTTGGGCTTGTTGAGGCTTGTTACCACCTTATCTAGGGAATAACACCTAGTTTTGTTTTCTTTCATAATCTAAAGAGAGGGGAAAAAAAAAATCCATGTACCTGCATGTAAAATTTCCAGTTTGTGTGAACATATTTGCAACACTTCTTTTTCCCTAGTGGGAGAGAAAATGGTGTTATCCAGAGAATGTATGTGTGGAGGGCAGGGAAAAACCCTGGTGAAAGGTAACGAGGCTGTGATCTGCCTCATGTCCCTGAGAAGATAAATCTGGGCAAGTACCCTCCAAAATGCCTGAAGAGTAGACTTATTCCTTTTTCCACAAATAATCATTAGAGATAACCCCAGCATTGGTGGGCCTATGCCCACCTCCCAGTAAGAGTTCAGTACTGTATAATCAATGCCCTGGAGCTATATAGCGTGAGCCACAAATACCCTGCCAGAGCCACTCCAGTCTGTTCTGGGTAAATAGCAGGAGACAAGAAATGCTCGGAATCTTAAGCTTTGCTACCAATGCTGGCCTCCCAGGCCTGTGTTAGCCCCTTCCCTGCAGATCCACGGAGAGCACACACCACCTCTGTGGTGTGACAACCTTCACCTTTCCTTCCTCAAAGTAGTCCCTCTCTGGGTGACATGTAACAGGCCAGTGGTGTGAGCAGGGCACGGGGAGACACCTGCAAATGTGGCTTTCTCAGCAAGGCAAAGCACAGGAGGCAAAGGGAAGGTTCTTGTATCTTCTTCCCCCTCCTTTTTTACAACTAAAGGGCCAAGGCAGCCCTTCAGCAGACTTCTCCTCTGCACAGAACCTGAGAGCCACCCCTCCTCATCTCCTTCCAGCCAGGGGGCCTGGGGCCCTCTAACAGCTCCACTGACATTCCCTGCCCTCTCCAGGTGGAAACTGTGAAATACCCATCCTGCTCCCTGCCCTGTGTCTTCCTCTTGGGCAGAAAACATTCGTCTCGAGAACGGCCACACTGGCTCCTTCTGGCAGCACTAAATCATCTTAAAAATAAAGTGCTCACTGACTAAATGAAATTGAGCCTCGTCTCCTTCCCTTTGCAGAGAGGGGAGAGAGAAAGGAAGGACAAGTGCAAAGAGTGCCTGAGTGCTTTGGGATGAAAGTACACAGTTCAGGAATCCCAGCAGTCCCAAGTGTCACAAAAATAGCTCTTCGTTTGGATCCTATGATGATACTGGACGTGCATCTACCACTGGCTGAGTCAGAGAGATCTCATTTCTTTACAAAGCTGTTGCTCCCATTCGTGGCCATAAAGCCATGTAAATAACATATGGTACAAACAGCATCACGAAACCTGCCAAAGTTTTGAAATACCTGCAAGTTAACTACTAAATCTAAGCCACCTGTCCAGTGACTTCTCCTTGAGTTGTTCCAGTTCATCACCCCTATTATTATAATAAGTTGATGGAACACCATAAATCTACGTAGTCAGGTAAGACATTCCTCCTGCCCTGAATAAATTAACCTCTAAAGAATATGAGTGAACTCAAGACAAAACCTCTCAGGAGGCAGCTTATCTGAGCCTCAGCGGTTGCTTGGAGAAGGAGGACTGAGGGCACCATTTCCAGAGTGGATTTTGCTCTGTGGTTAGCTCTGTGAACACAGGAGCAGGACAGTGACGTACATTTTATTGTCGTCAGAGAAACAGCTTGAGCCTGTCCTATGCAAGAGGCTTTCTGACTGTTCTCTGAATTGCCTGGATACTTATCAACCTAATGACATGACCAATAGCTGCTTAATTGAGACTCCATTAATTCTTTTTCTGCAGGTTAGTTGTCAGTCTACTAATTTCCTGTTGCAATACAGCCCTTCTTACTGCAGGGCCCAAAGATCCTTCTAGGCTCTGGTTCTCTAACTTTTTTGTTTGTGGAAGCTTAGTCATTCTGGCCAGTTCCTCACTGGGAACTGGGCCCACTTAGTAGGAGGCTTTAAAAAAGCCCAGCTTTCAGCGGGTTCTTCAAAGCAGTCAGCATCAAAACTGCCAGAGCTTTTCTTGGGTGTTCCCTGGCACCCAGTAAGTGGCGAGCTGCTGGGTGGTGAGCGAAGAGACGCCTCTCGGTAAACAGCAAACAGGAGAAAGAAAGCAACCCCAGCCAAAGGCTGACAGAGACCCCGCTGGAACTCACATTCAACTCACCCTGGGCTTGCTCTTCCCCGTCCCCTTCCTGCTGCTTCTCCCCCAGAACCCGCAGCAGAGCTGTTTATGAGCCTCCTGAAATTGCATCATTAAAAGCCTTTCGTTCTGTGAGTATCACCAGGCAATATGAGGTGAAGGTATGATGGTATGGGGAAAGAATCTGCTACGGAGTCAGGGCTTCAGCTGCTACAGCAAGCCTTCTCGCTGACCTTGGGTAAGGTACCCACCTCTCTCTTTGACTTGCAAGAATCAGGATATTTGGAGAATTAAATAATCCTCAGCAAACCATTTTAACATCAGTAGAGAAGGCTCTGGGGAAGTGTGACTCATTATTAGTTATAATTTAAATTTATTATAACTGCCATTGCATTATATATTATATATCGTGAGGCTAGATATATCATTATGGTATTTATATCTGTAGTGTAATTTATATTATTAGAATCAAATTTATCATTTATTATAAGTTAATAAAAGATTGATTTTTAGAATCCTCATAGGTGTAAGATTCTTGCTAGAAATGCTCATGTTTCTGGCTAAGGCAGCAAGTGTCTTGAAATTTGACTACATATAACACTACTGAACAAGATGCAAGAAGCAAAAGACAGTTTTAGTGCCAAAGATGTGCTGTGGCTGATTTCTTAATGATGTTCATTTCTTGCTCTTATAGGTAATCAAGAAACTCCTCAAAATCTGGGAACTTGCTTTTTCAGAGGATGGCTGAATTCAGATCTGCATTACAAAAGAATGCAGGCATAAAGCACAGAAATTACATGACTTTCAGATAAGATTTTTACTTTTCAAAGTAAAAACTTTTAACCTGCAATAACCTTATTCTGCTGTCACATGATCCTGGAGGGGCTAAGGCATCAATGGATATCAACGTTTAGGTTTTTACATAGAAGTTTTCTAGGTTTCTTCTCTCTACCCCACTTGGAAGGGCTTTATCTGGCAAGTGTTTGCATAGCACGTTTAGCAGATCAGCTCCTACACAAACTCTGGCAGTTGGTTCAAAGCACGGACAAAGCAGGTGTCACTACTGTTTTAGCCACAATCCCTTGGTGGAGGGCAGGAAACCAGAATGGGGTGGCCTGGGCTGATCCCCACAGGATTCACTTCCACGTCTTCTTCTGCCTCAAGGCAGAGTTTGCACAAGGCCAGACTGTAAATTTGTCTGGGATTTGGAAAGGAGGGAAGAGCGCTCCACTCTCATTTCCTCTTGCTGAGCTTTCCCATTGTGTAGAGCAGAATACCAAATAATAAGAATGTGAATAAGGCTGGGAAGAGGAGAAGGCCAGAGCATGCGTAACGATTAGAGTCCCGATGTGAGGGTGGAGAGCTGTAAGTCTTCACAAGCAGAGAGGGAACCTGAATTTGGACCTCCTAAATCCCATGCCAACTGGAGGCTGTTACATAAACCACTGATACCCTTTCTGAAGAAAAGGACGGCTCTCTGGTCTATTTTTAAAGTACAGCACCCTGCCCCTTCTTTTTTTTCCCCAGGGTTCAGGGCTGTAATTCTTACAATTGGTAGCACTAAATCAATCCCAAACAGTGACAGTATTTTCTCTATTTTTCTCCAGTTTACAGGGAGATCTTGCATGGCTTCTGCCGTGGAACAGTTCTCCCAGTGCTTTACTTACACTGTGTTGGATTTATTATTTAGGACTGTGGACACAGTTAGTCAACCATCCCCATAAAAGTTCGCCTCTGGGTTCTGGATTGTGAGTCCCGGGTTTCCTGTCCTTATTGCCCTCAAGAACTAAAAAGTAACAAAAAATGACACAAAGTATCTGCACCCAGCAGCTTCAGTCCAGCTTTGAATCCTACCCCTTTGCATCCCAAATTGGGTGGGAAAACAGACACTTGTCTCTTCTTTAGTCTAAGTATAGAAGGAGCTAGCCTTGCACTCAAGTTCAAGGGGTCTTTTAAGGCTGCAGAAAGCCTGGCAACAGGAGGTGTGATGCAAATTAAACAGCGGGGGCAGAAATACCCAATGGTTTACCACGTGGGAATAAAGGGAACCAGCCAGGCCTGTCTTTGAAAGATGGGGAGAGCTTTAACCTGTGCTTTTTCTGCCTAAATCTCAAACTACGGCAGCGTGCTCATGCAGAAACCCATGAGTTCTCCATGCTCAGCACAGTGAGTAAGACATATTTCACAATTAATGCCGAGTTGACGCAAGCAAAACGATATTACACAGAAACTTAGAACCAACATCCAAATTCAGTACAGGAGTAGATAAGAGTGTCCTTAGAAAAGACATCTGAAACATACAGCCAGATGAGAGTAAAGATATTTCCTTTAGAGAAAGTAGTATGGAATTAACCACAAATATGCAATTCATATGCATTTCTGGAGATGTGAGTATTGAAATTAAGAAAACTAGGCATTTTTTGACAAAACTTTTCACGGTTTGTACCTTATCACAGCCACGTTTTTGCGTCATCTAACACATCCAGTCTCCATCCCATTCTCAAACATGAAACTGTCATGTTTGGCCTTTCCATTTCAGATACATTGTGTCTACCCACAGCCTGTGTGTACTGCAATTAAGTCAATAATGTGTCTTCCCCAGGGAATTGTTATTTTTAACCTTTCAAGTTCAAATCTAGCCTTTCTAGTACTGACTGAGGCTTGCTTCCAGTCTGGATAATGTCTGGGTGATGAGTTTTGCTAAATTCATTTGTAGCTGTCCGTTTGGTGCCTAGCAGAGACCTCCTCATGGCTTACCTAGGAAGCTGAGTGGGGCTTGGGTGGGAAGCATATAATTTTATTTAAAAAAAACCAAACAAAACAAACCCATGATGGAATGTAATATTTGAACAATATTTTGTGTCTTCATAAATACCAGCCAAATAACCTTTGGTATGAGCATCTGGAGATAAGGGATATAACTTATAGTGGACCATTTATCCACTTTCCTTCTTCACAAATCCACAGCACCCGCAACTCCCACTAACTTTGATATAGGTCCTGCAGCGTGGATTTAAGTGTTCAATTCAAGCTACTAGTTAGCTGAAAAGGCTGGCCAAAGGAAGCAATTGACACTACTGAAATTAAAGCTCAGGGCTGTTTGTTGGTCACTCCTCTGAATTATGCAGCAACTGGAGGAGAATTATGAATCCTGTTTCTTTTGAGAAGAAGTGAAGTATTTAAATCTCCAAAGCTCATCCAAATATAATTCTGCACTAATGAGGCCACGGTGTCATGTAGTGTTATTTTTCAGTCAGAAAAGTTGCTGACAGAGGCAGGCGCTTACCAGAACATCCACAAAAGCACAGAGCTGTTACTATTAGCCCCTTTTGTGCGTCTGTGAGACACCACATCGCTGCAATCAACCTGTAAGGAAAGAACGCGCCGGTTTTATTTCCAACACGGGACACGAGCATGCCATTTCCAACCCACCCGTAAGCAGCACCAACGGCGATTTTAAGCCAATGCTTCGAAAAAATGGCACTGGCGCCGGGGCACGGAGCGCCACAAAATGGAGTTGCTCCCTTCGCTTGGCGTTTGGCTGGAGCCTGCGAGGCATCGGGCTCTTGTGCACGTCTTGGTAGACGTTCAGGTCCCCAGAGGGGCACAGAGAGACACCCCACCTACCCCCCCCGCC